TATAAAATTGAGCCCAAAGAAGGAAAGCAGGCTTTATGTCAATGAAAACAAAGGGAAGTGTTTTAAGTAAGGAAACACTGAATGTGGATTCTTCCAGAATTTCCACAGGAATTGTGGATCACATATATCATTTCCCGTTATGTAACATGCAAAGCTAATGTGTGCTTGTATGTGTGTCTGTCTAAAATCCCAAATGCATTAATTAAAAATATGTTATCTGAAAGCAAATTGAGTGTGGTCCAAATGCTCAAGGAGATTCTAGCATCTCCTTAGTTGGGCAGTCTGATAAATAGTCCTTGAGTAACCTCTTATGATAGTCCTTGGCACAAAGTAAACACTTAAAAATGTACCTTGTTTATTACTATTGGTGGTGTGTTATTACTGTTATTATTGGAGAACTTACCAGTTCCATTTCACACCTCTAAGGAAACTCCAGAGGCCCAGAATCACCTAAGATGCTATGAAAGTATATATATGTATGTATTTATGACATAGAAAATGATATTAAGTGCCAATGATACTAAAGGCATAATAGGGATATTTTACATTCATAGAGAAGGCATTCTCTTTAAGGAGATGGTTTTAATCCTGGAAATTACCAGAATATAACTAGTTATAGCTGAAACTATACTCTGGGAACCATTTTTAGGCAAGAAGGAGAGTGAAAATTTTCTACTAGTTTGTTGAAACTGTGGATTTTCATCCTTTCTCACTGAAGGTTTAGATTCTCTTACACACACACACACACACACACACACACACACACACACACACACACACAGTATACAGCTGCCAATATACTGCCTGAAAAGCTGTTCATACAGATAAATGTAATGCTTGCTCCCTCACTTGTTCCTAGTCACTGCTCAAATTTATCATCATCATAAGAAGCCTTTTCTCCCCAGTGTATCTAAAATAGCATTACCTTTTCGTCAATATCTCAATCTCTATTCTATTCATTATCTTTGGAGTTATTGTTATCTTCTACACCAGGATATTTTGAGAGTAAAAGAGTATGCTTTTAATATTTCCACCCAAACAACAGGTGTGAAAGGGTACTGCTCAGGGCAGATAGTGATGAGTGGTCCTCTTGAGTTTCATCCTAGCACTATGTTATTTATTTCTTATTTTGTTTTTCTTTAGAATGACAGTTTTATAAGAGCAGAGACTTTTCCTGTTTTGTTTGCTGTATCTCTAGTGCATATGGCAATACATGGTACATGCTAGATGTTTGATATCCAGGGAGTTAAATAAAATATCAAAAAATATCATAACTGCCTCTTGCTATTATTTTTATGACTGTTGGAACTATCCTATTGAGAGATACTTATTTGTTATGTCATAATCCTTTGATTAGGAAATATATTTTGTATTTGAAAATTTATAATGTAATAGCTGCTCTGGCTTCATTCCCTTCAACATTTGCATAAAGAGAAGATATGATCTTTATTTCTATTGCTTTTTCTTGCCTGTAGGGAAAATGGCAGTTTCATTAGGGCCCCTGCTTTTCAGCTTCTGGGAATTAGTGCTTACCTGGTGTTTGGGGTATTTAAAATGCTCTCAGATGGAGATCTGAAGGCTGAGAATAAATCCTCAAAGCCTATGCATATGAGTATCCTTTCCTAGCTCCTCAGGAGAACTTGTAGGACTCAGGATGCATATTTTAAATTTACAATGGTAAATGCGTTCTAACCAGTTCATCTTCACCTTTGTAGTTAGGGCAGGTAAATCGGTGTTTAGAAAAAATTATTATAGCAATTGTTCTTGCTGACACAGAGGGTTAACAGCATTTTGGCATTCTCTCAAGGTATTTCCTGTAGCTTTTGATTTGCGCCCTGTGACTAGGATTTCTGGAGTATTGCAGTGCATTTACTTTGTAACTCACACTGAAAGTACATGAAAAGGAAACTTCTACAGAGGAAGGAGGAAGATTGTCATTACTTAGTTGTAAGATGAAGGGCAACTATAAAATGAGGTTAATTACATTACATGTTCCAGTAGATGTAATTTACATTAACTTAGGGTTGGTTTCCAGCAGCATTAGTTTTCTATAAAGCTTTTCTTTCAACAATTTAAGGTCTTTCTTTCTGAAGTATTTTTGCCAAAATGTAGTTTTAATTATAAAGGAATAGAATGTTTTTTATAGAAACTAAGAAATTGTTTTTCTCAGAAGTTAATTTGTGTTCTTATGATAAAATATAAACTAAACAAACTCAAACAATTACTTTTCAGGTCTTTTCTTTACAGCTGAGGAGTTTCAGTAACAATGTGACTTACATTGTTTATTTCATTACTTCACTTTCTGTGGCAGTTAATCATTGTGTCAATGGTAGATTCAGAAGGTATAGAGTATTTTTGTTGCCAGTGGAAATGGGGTCCTTGTGATGTCGGGGGAAAAAACATTTCAAGGACCACGCATGGGAGGTTTATTAAAGCTGGAGCAAACACAAAGGACTATCCCAGGTTCAGCTCTTTCCTGCTGTGGAAGAAGTCCAGCCTTGCCTTCATTAAGCCCAGAAGAAAGGCCAGGGTCCAGAAATTCTGGGTGTTGGTTGGTTCAGTTCAGTTCTGTCTCTGCCCTTATCCGGCTAGCTTAGCCCCTGTTCCAGGCTGCTCTCGGGTGATGCTGTGTTGCCATATCCAGTACCCAGGCTTGCACTTGGAGCTGGGTTGTGGTCCACATGGCTGTCAGGCCCATATGGCTGCTATGGAGAGAGCGGGGCGGGGGGAGAGAGTGCAAACAGAGAGAGAGAGAGACGCTGATGTGTTGTTTCACTTATTCTACATTCATTGGTTGATTCTCGTATGTTTGTATATGCCCTGACCGGGGATCCAACCCTGAACCCTGAAGTATTGGGACAGTGTTAACCAGCGGGGATGAAGGATATTCTTTTATAATTACTTTCTAATTTGTCTTTTGGTGATAGATTATCTTGATTTTTATTTATTTGAAAATGTCTTTATTTCACCTTTTTTAAAGGATATTTTTGCTAAATATTGGGAGTATTGTCTTCAAGCCTTTAGAAAATACTATTCCATTGTCTTTTTGCTTCCTTAGTTTCTATTGTGAAATCATCTGTCAATTTTATTATTACTTCTTCAGAGGTATTCTGTCATTTTCCACAGTCTCCTTTTAATATCTCATGTCTTTTTTCCCCCTGTAGTTTTACTTTGATGTGCCCAACTCTGTGTGTGTGTGGCGCATTTTAAAATTTATTCTGCGTGGTGTTTGTATCTTGATATCTTTCTTCAGATACATTCTTAGACATTAACTTTTTAAATATTGCTTTTACCCTTTCTCTTCTCTCCTTTGCAAATCCAGTTACAGTGTTAGACCCTCTTACCCTATCCCTTTTTTCTCCTTTCTCTGTTCTTCATCTTTTGGTTTTCTGTGCTTCTCTCATATAAATCTATCTACATCTATCTATATCTATATACATATGTATATGTATTTTGTCTTCCAATTCTAAAAATCTGTCGGGTTATTTGTAATTTGCTGATAAACCAGTCCATGGTGTTTAATTTCGGGTTATTTTATTCTTACATTAAAAATTTTCCATTTAGTTGTTTATAATTGTCTCCAGTTTTCTGTTAAACATTCTCAATCTTGCATATTATTTTATTGAGCATATTAACCATATTTTAAGTCTGTCTGATAACTGTTTTTTGTGTTTTTTTCCTGATTCTCCTGTTTATATGATTTTATTTTCTGTTACCTCTTAGTTTCTCATCCCAATGATCATTTTTTTTTTTTTCTATTTACTTGGTCAATTTTTGTTGAATATCAGGCTTTGAATGTAAAAATTATAGAAATAATTTGAAAACTTAGATGAGGATATTTTCCTTGAGACCAGTCTTATGATTGTTTTAGCTGATTGCTAGGGAGCACTAGCATTTCTGAATCACCTGAATTCAGACAGGCTTTTGTATGATTTAGATTTATGCCTCAGTTACTAGTTGGCTGTCTTAGTATGTCTGGCCTGCTACAACAAATGCCATAGACTGGGAGGCTTATTAAACAATAGAAATGTATTTCTCCCAGTTCTGGAGGCTGGAAAGTCCCAGATCAAGGCATCAGTAGTTTCCATGTCTGGTGAGGGTCTGTTTTCTATTCATTGATGGCCATCTTCTGTGTTCTCACATGGTGGAAGAAGCAGGGAAATTCTTGAGGGTTTCTTGTAAGGACACTAATTCCATTTATGAGGACTTTGCCCTAGTTACCTCCCAAAGGTCCGAGCTCCAAATATTACATTGGTATTAGTTAGGATTTCAACGTATGAATGTTAGGGGCTACAAACATTTGGTATATATCTACTTTTAGTTTACTCTTGTGGTTTGTGTTTTCAATATCCAGTTCTGTAGTGTAGCTAGTTAATAAAGCCATTGTCTCTTACCTGTGGAACCCCCTCCCCTCTCTTCCTAATGCCATGATACTCTAATTTTTGTTTCTCTACTTCATGAGCTTATTAAAAGCTATGGGAGAACAGAGGATTTTTCAAGGCAGTGAAAATACTATGAATGGTATTATAATGATGGAAATATGTCATTATACATTTGTCCAAACCCACAGAATATACACCATAAAGAGTAAACCATAAGGCAAACAAACTATGGACTTTGGGTGATTATGATATGGCAAAGGTTCATCCTTGGTAAAAAACGTACCATTCCTGTGAATGATGTTGATATTGGAGGAGGCTATGCATGTATGGCGGCAGGGGGTATATGGGAAATCTCTGTACCTTCATGTCAGTTGTGTTGTAAACCTAAAACTACACTTAAAAAAAATAGTCTTATAAAAAATCAGAAAACAAACCCCAGAGAGGTTGAAGGGTTAATCTCAACTCCAGATTAGTAAAGCTGTAAGAAACATATCAACACTACATATACACACTTACAGTATACTAAGATATAGTCTACCCAGCAATTACTTTGACTTTTAGATATTTCTATGGGAAAGTAACTAACTTTTGTTTGTTATTAATTTGTTAAACTTTCAGATGATACAGCATTGTTTGAGTTGATTCAGCTAGTTCCACCAGGTACTGTATTATATTCTGATAAGGTAATTGACGTGAACTCATTTTAGTGAAATGCTTTTTAAATATCTCATTTTTTCCCCTTCTTCCCAAATTAAGAACAATGTTGAGTTTCTAGTATTGTCCCACTATGTGTAAAATGTCAATAGACCAAAATAGTATATACAGAAAGACTGGCATAAAGTGGCATTTGAATACACTGTTCTAAAATTGAATGAACAGTAATAATTAAAAGAAAAAAACTGATATTATTCTAGAGTATTTATGACATTCATAAAAATTGACTGTTAGGTTTTCGTGATTTTTCTAAAATTATATACTTTTTGATAGTTATCTTTGTTTTTGTGTGTGGACTATTATTGGGAATGGAGGGGAATACAACCTTACCTATTTAGCAAACATTACAAATCCCTAGAATAGGCAGAGTTAAAATATGGGGGTAGTTTTATTTTTGTTATTAATATCTATAATTATAGAAGAAATCTATCTTAATCAGGTGATTATGTGAAAAATAGAGAGCCATATTTTATTGAAAACTAGTAATTTGAAAAAATTTTGAATATTAAATATATACCTAATTCAGATAACCACAAATTCCAGGAAAAAAATATATATATATATTTTTAACATGTCACCTAATACCTTATAATGGCAGGTAAAAAAGAATGGAAGATAGAAAAATTTTTAGAGAGTGTAAGTAAATTTCAGATGTGTAAATGTCATAGCAACTTGATACATTTACAAGCTTTTTTCAAAGAAACTCATAGGTACTCATTAAATTTAGATAAGTAGTCTCCCTCTACAAAAGGGGGTAGGGATAATTAGTAATATGTATTACATGTCTGAATAAGGAAATGTGTTAATTCATTGAACATAACTTTAATTTTCCTTTCATGGAAAAAACCGTGACCCCAAAGCAGGTATTTCAGTGAGGCATCGGGCATTATATATATTGTACCTGATGATTTGGTTTCTAAATAGAATATTTTGTTATAATTTGAATCACAGGATATCTTTCTTGTAGTGGGTGAAACACTGTCTACATATGATGAAAATACACGAGATTTCATGTTCCCGGGTCCAAACCAACTTTCTGGACACCATGATTCAAACCGCCAGGTTACCATGAGGAGAATTTCTGGCCTTCGAGTAAGTGCTTACTGTTTTCTGAATTAATTTGTGATGCAGGATCATTTTTAAAAACCACCACAGATCCCTCAGTATCTGAAATGTGAGAATCTAATTCAAAGTTTAATTTGGTTTAAAAATAATGGTTTTCTGAAATTTTGGTGTTGTTTTAAACATACTGAAATTAAATGAAAATAAGTCAACAAAACCCATGCATCTACTATCCAAAATTAACAAGTGCTATTAACCTTATATTTTTCACATTTCTGTCCTTTCTTTACCCCTCCTCCCCACCCCTCCCCCGTCCTTATCTGTCCATCTCTTCTCTCTTTTCTTTATTTTTCTCAAAAGAATGACCAATAAACGTTTGGAAAGATGCTCAATCTCATTAACATTTAAGGAAATCCAAATTAAAAAACCATATCTTTTCATTTTTGTAACCATAAAAATGGTAAAATTTAAATATCACAATATCCGAAGTTTGAAAAAAGGAAACTCTTGTGCTGCTATGCCATGTAAACGGGAACAACACAATTCAGAGTTGTCTAGTAAGGGCAAGGATTCTCAAAGCCTATGCTGTTCTAGAGATCTATCTTAGACGTTTTCACTGGTATACAGAGAGCCTTCTTAGGAATGTTCATTTATCTCATTGTTTATAATAGAAGAAGAAGTTTGGATAGATTAATTATTATATGTTCATGTAGTGGAAATACATGTTTACCCTCCTGAAAACGAAAGCTGCATTGGGACAGCAGACTCCCCTGTCCTTCTGCCAACTTCCTTCAGCTTCCGTTGGATGATTTCAAAATATTTCATCCCTGGAAATGTCTTCCACTTAGAGAAACTGAGAAAAGCCCCTGCTGTTTTAGAGAAGAAAAAAGCAAAAGTTATCTAGCTTGAAATAATTTGGACACTTTTTACTAACTTTATAAAGTATTAGAGTAATCTGAGTAAGGAAAGTGGGGTAATGTATGAGCCAATGTGGTGAATTAAGTAATTTCTCCTGTAGGTGTAAGTTTATGATGTGCTCTATCCTGGGAAACAGCAACTTCAGCTTGCTGAAGGTACAAACTTTGACTGACTAGAAAATCTATGAAAATATACCTCCTTTGGGATATTTTCAGCATCCATTAGCTACCTTCTATACTATGAAAATCTTCAAAAAGTGTTTCAACAACTGTCTAGAAACTTGCAATGAAAAAAATACCTGATTTTAAATGATGGTCTTTTAAAAGTAATTTAAAATGCTGTATTATACCAAATTGGCAGTATAAATATAAGAATATGGACCATTAACAGTTATCTTTCTTCATTTAATTTGAGTTATTTTTATATATATTCAGAAGATATTGCATTGCTAAGGCAATATATAAGGTGGACTTCTGGTAATGGTGGTATGAAGAGGGAGGTTGGCCAGTTCCTCCCTCCACACAAAATAAATATGAAACTGGATAAAACTGTCACAAACAAAAGTTTCAGGACACTGGAAGCTAACTGGCAATTAGGACAAAACAGATTAAGAGTGTTTCTGCTTGAATAACTGCTAAAGCTTTGGGTAAAAATGGCGGGAATACATGGCCTTCTTGCCTGGGACTGCTCCCACACCCTGCGTGGCCAGTGAGAATTGTGGCTTCACCAAAGCTGGTGCTGGGTAGAAAAATCGGCAGCTTTTTTACTGCAGGGGTCAGGATTAATTTTGGGACTGTGATATTGTGATTTATAATAAACATGTATTTGGTCTTCATCCACTTTCTGGCCCAGAGCTCCTAAAACCCTTGGAATTTCTAAGTGATGAGGTCACTTTGTTAATTAGGTGATTTCTAGAAAGCCTCTTGGTAATCCAAGGAGGAGGGTTGGAACTTTCAGCCCTACCCTGGACTTCTAGGGAAGGTAGAGGCATTGGAGATTGAGTTCAGTTACCAATGGCTATTGATTTAGTCAATTATGTCTATGTAATGAGGCCTCCATAAATACCCAAGAGGACTGGGTTCAGAGATCTTCCAGATTGGCAAACATGTGGAGAGAGGTACTGGGTGAGTGATGTGCCCAAAGAGGGCATGAGAGATCTGTGTCCCCACATACTTTGCCCTGCACATATCTTCCATCTAGATGTTCATCTGTATCCTTTATATGGTGAATAGTAAACTGTTACCTTGAGTTCTGTGAGCAACTCTAGTCAGTTAATTGAACTCAAAGAGGGGATCATGAAAACCTTCAATTTATAGCCAACAGGTAAGAAGCACAGGTGACAACCAGAACTAGTGATTGGCATCTGAAGTGGGGTGGGGACAATCTTGTGGGACTCACCTGTGAAATTCGATGCTGTCATCAGGTAGATAGTGTCATGACTGAGTTAAACTGTAGGATGCCCAGCTGGTGTCACAGAGGATACCTTGCTGCTATTGGAAAACCCACACATTGGAATTGGTGTCAGAATCCTAGGGACAGCCCGGCCAGGCGTGGCTCAGCAGTTGAGCATCGACCTAGGATCCAGGAGATCAAGGTTCAGTTCCCTGTCAGGGCACATGCCCAGGTTGGAGGCTCGATCTCCAATGACTCTCTCATCACTGGTGTTTCTATCTCTCTCTCTCCCTGTCCTTTTCTCTTTCTGAATCAATAAAGTTATATTTTAAAAAAAAAATCCTAGGGACAAATAATGCGGCCCACCCTTCCTCAGAGTTCCTGTGATTCTGCGTAGACAGTAGTCTGAGTCTTAGGCTGTCCTCCTGAACCCATCCCTGTGGCAAGGATTCCGATCACAACTGGGATTGAATCCTGGGAATCACAGGCTACCTGAGTAAACTTGAGCAAAACACTATAACATGGAGATATCATAGGACTATTAGATGGATTGATGAAACCTTGTAAATGGTTATAGCAGTACCTAGCACATAAAGAACACTCAATAAATGTTAGTGATATGATGGTGGTTGTGAAGATCATGACAGTGGTAATGATGGTGGTGGTGATGGTGGTAATATCTTCTTTAGACTATGAATGTCATAAAAACAGTCTGTGACTTTCTCGTTGTTGAACTGAACTCTTAGCATAGTACTTTGCCTGGAGTAGGTAATTAAATGCCCCTTAACTGGATTGAATGAATGAATTACATCTTATTGTAGACTTCATAGGGTGATATTTGAAATGGTGTGATGATTAATCTTAAGTTTCAACTTGGTTAGGTTATGGCACCCAGTTGTTTGGTCAAACAGTAGTCTAGGTGTTACTGTGAAGGTATTTGTAGATGTGATTAATATTTCCAGTCAGTTGGCTTTAAGTATAGGAGATTGCCCTTGACAATGTAGGTGAACCTCATCCAATTTACTGAATGCCTGAGAAGCAAAAACTGAGGTTTCCTGAAGAAGAAGGAATCGTGCCTCAGGACTGTAGCATAGAAACACTGCCTGAGCTCCCAGCCTGCTGGCTTGCTTACAGGTTTTACACTCGCGGCTGTGTTATCAACAGTCTGCCAGCCTGCCCTATTTTTGGACTTTCTCTCTCCTCCCCACCCCTCATCACCTGAGCTTATGCATGAGAGGAATGCAAATAGTTTGTGGTCAGAGGATAGACTGTGGTGGTTTTAAAACATGTCCACAAATTTTTGGTACTCCTCTACTGTACAGAATATGACAGAAGCATGAGTGTTATACTTCTGAGACCACATCACAGAAGGATCTTGGCTTCCTCCTTGCTTTGCTCTTGGATCACTGTCTTTGGGAGAACTGGCTGCCTTGTCCTGAAGACACTCAGCAGCCCTACGGAGAGGTTTATTTGATGAGGAGCTGAGTCTTTGCTAAAAGCTAGAAAAGAACTGATGCCTTCAGCCAAAGCCCATGTGAATGAGCTTTCTCTAGAAGCAGACCCTCCAGTCCCAGTAAAGCCTTCAGATGCCTGCAGCCCAGATGACATCTTAGTTGCAATCTCATGAGAGATTTTGAGCCAGAACCACTCAATTCAGCATCTGCCAGATTCCTGCCCCATAGAAACTGTGTAAGATAATAAGTGTTTACTGATGTTTTATAACAAAGAGTCATAATGGACATTATTAATAATAGATATGTTTGCAGAAACATATCTGTGTTCAGTTAATTTTTAGGCAAGTCAGATTTGTTTTTCTGTAATGTGTGATGTTTGAAACTTTAAGCTTAGTAGGTCAAAGGCTGGATTTGTAGAAGACAAATGTAGGCACTTTTGGTCAATGTCTGACTTCGACTATATTAGAGAAAAGCTGCACTGAGAACAGAAAATATGTTTTAATGTTTTGGTGAATGCATATCTTGCGTGCTTCGAAATATTTTCTCAGGTGCTTTGTGACTGTTCTTTTGAATTTCATCATTTGTCTTCACTTTCTCTCAAAACAGTATTCAAGCTCATAATTGAAATGTTGCAAGAAATAGAAGCCAGATTCATTGATCTGAATGTAAGCTACATTATGTGAAAAAATGTTGGAGGAATCGATAGAGACTTATCTCTCTTTTCTTATTTTCAACAATTGCACATGAAGGAACTGCATTGTTGTTGTTTTTTAACATGAAAAGACTCTCCAAAGTATTTTTTGATTATGTTGTTAGTTTATGTAGTTAGTCTCAATTATGTAGTTCCAAATATTTGGAAGCATGCAATACATTAAAACATAGATATGTGTTTACTTGTAAAAATAAAAAGAGCGGAAATCTATTAAGTATTTTAATGTATTTATGACTTTAACATTGTATCATAGTTTAAAAATCTTAAAAGAATTTTACAGGGAAATATTTGAAAGTAAAAAAATGCATTAATTATTTCATAAAGCTAATATAATCAACTCGTAAGTGAATCATCAGCAGTAAAACTGTTTCCTGCTAACATTTAGCATTATTATGTTGTCTTTATCTTTAATAAGAAGTGCAAACTAACAAATGAAGCTGCTGAACCGTGACAAGTGTTTGTTACTTTAGGTGCTAGTTTCATCACTAATATCTTTTTTAAAAATTGAAATGTCTAATAATACCCCTTCTCCTCCCTGCTCCCAGGGAATTGCTCCAAAGCTGGAATTTTCTACAACCTCAGTGATCACTGAATGTCTGATAAGTTCAAGGAAGTGCCGCACTCAGGTTAGTCATTTAAAGTTTTTAATGGTTTAATTTATTTGTTCCTATTTATGGGCATTTAGCAAGCACTGTGTTTAATTTTTTTTTTTTTGGCTGCAGCTGTTTTCACTTTTTTTTGGTCAACCTTTAGTTTAGGTAAAGCACTTATCATAGGTGTTAGCAGCTTGGTTACAATATTTTTATTGTTGACATTATTACAGATGTCCCCTCCCCCCACCTCTTCACCCACCTTCACCCGCCCCTGCTACCGCTTCCCTCTGGCAGTCACCACACTGTAGTCTGTCTCTGTGGGTTATGTATATATGTTCTTTGGCTACATCTTAATAAATATGAGAATGAAAAGTTTGGTACGCATAATAGATGGTGCCATGATGTTCTGTTTTTTAAAAACTTTATGGGCCTTTCATTAATGTGAAAAAATCAGGCTGTCAGAAAGATGTTGAGATCAAGACATCCCACGAGAACTAGATCGGAGGCCTCTATAAATCTTCCAGAAGTTACAGGTTACTGTAGAAAGTTGAAAAGATACCTTTTTAGCAGATATGACAGAGGTTCTCAGGCTGGGACATTGGTGTTTAGTGAGTTATGCTTTTCTTAGTGTCTCTAATTCTTTAAGGGGCTATTGCTCAGTTTGGCGAGCATACTGATACTATCAGATCAAGGGAATCTTGAACACTCCGGCCTAAGTACCTTCTATATTTTTGAAAACTGCCTTAGTAACTGAGATATCTGGGTCTAATATTCCATTCTGGTCTAACTTCATGAGTTACCAGAATTGTCTTGCTACCTTGTCCATAGGTTATCTCTTTATGTCTGTGCATCACTCATATGTGGTTGCATGATGACCAGGTAACAATGACTAGTCTGTGATGAAGAGCCAGTAGTATGTAAAGCCCAGAGGGCCCAAGCAGGGCAGGATGGGATCTACGATGGAAAGAGTGGACTGTTAATGTACTGCATTATCAGTTTTATAGTAAATTTCCTTAAGATGATATGTGACATAAGCTAAGAAAGGTAAAATACAGTTATAAAATTATCAAAGGGATCACATTTTATTTGGCAAGATATTTAGTACATCAGAGTTTAGCTGTAGTTATTTATCTTTTTTAAATGCAAGCTGAAACATAGCTGTTAGAGTCCTACCAACCTGTGCTTTCTAAATGTAGAGAAATGTTTCTGACTTGTTTTTGAGATAAACACTGTGCATGCTTGTTAGAAATTGTAAATTGTTAGAAATATCTTACATGAACTCAGACAAAATTTTTCTCTCCAGTGGGTGGGGTAAAGAAGTCTTTTTTGTGTGGAGTATAGCATATACACAGAAAAGCGCATACATTCTAAGTGGACAGCTTGGCGAAAGAGTCCTTTCTAAACATAAAACTATCTCCGGAGTCTCCCCATTAGTAGTTTCATTGAACTTAAGAACTAACATTTTCCTCAGTACACTTTTGGGGAGACTTTTAAAACTTGCTATTTCAATCTTTGTCATTTGTTCTTTATTGAACGGTAATGTAAGAGAATAGGCTTTGGTGTAAGACAAATCTGGGTTCAAGTTTCTCATAGGCTGCTTTAGAAATTAAAGTAGAGAATATATATGCAGTGTGCCTGGCTCATAACATTTAATTAATGATTTGTGGCTGTTACTAGCTATTTTAATTAAGATAATTGGGAGAGATCAGAAGACAATAGTCAGAGTATAAAATAGAAAACATTGTCTGGTAGGCACAACAGAGTATATAGATTTACGTTAAAATTATGAATGTTAACAGCTAGAATTTTAATCTTATTTGACCTTATTTGAGAATGTGATAAATCTACTTTTTAAAAGTGAATATTAGTTACAACTAAAATTTTAATGGCTATAAAGCAGCATTTTCAGACTCAAATAAAAGAATAAGACAAACCATTTTTGTTAAGAGAGGAGTCAGTAAAATCATAACAGTTATTGAGATTATTGAGGTTTACAGTACTTAAAATGATCTTTATTTCTTTTGGCACATTTTAAAATTGGATATTTTGTCAACAATTAGACTGAAAAAAATAATCATATGATTGTGATTTTCTGGAATAAAACTAGTTTTCTACTTATTTTTACCTACAGCAAAGTAGAATTTATTACTAGTTAAATATCAATAGTAGCTTTATTAATATGTTTGTTAATCGGCTAGCTTTTGCTGTGTAAAAAGCCACACTGACTTAGTGGCTTAAAGGAAAGTGTTTCTCACAGTTCTGTGGGTTGGCTGCTGAGTCTTTTGGTCTGGACTGGCTAGGTGAGGGCTGAATGATCTGGGATGGCTTCATTCATGTGTCTCTCAGTTGGTTGCCTCTTTGGTCCAGGGAGGGACTTTACATTTCTGATAATTGGCTTGGTTTCGGCTGGGGCAATGGCCACAGACTGTCATCATCCTGGAGGCTTACTTGGTTCAGTTTGGCTTTGTCACATAGGGGCAGGAAGGAAGGTTCTTTAGGAATAAAAGACAAACATTTTTCAAGTCTCTCCTTGTGTTATGTGTCCTATTATCCTGTTAACCAACAGAGCAAGTCATAATGTCAGCAGTATAGATAGCACTTGCTTTGCGTTTTATTGTCATTAATAGGATGCATTAAGGATTGAGGAGAGTTGACAGCATGTATCTGTAGTAGGTACGCAGCCGTTTACAACTTCCTCTAGTAATACTTAGCATTAAAAAACATGAAGAAAGAAGGTGGGGTGAATTACTTTAGGTTTGGTATAATCAGAGGAGGGTAAGTAGGAACTTTACAGCATTGCTGGAGGTGTATGATTATGGGTTTCATCTGGGTCTGGAGGTAAGAGATACTAAGATGTATGAAGGTCTGGAGGAAAGAGGTCTAGGGACTGAGGAGTTGAGAGGGCAAGTAACAGATTCAGGCAGAATAAAAGTAGTAGGATGAGGAAAAGAAGCTTTGGTGAGCAAGGGATTTCAGAGTCTGGGATGCAGTGGATCTGCATAATGATGAAATCTAAGACAGAGTACAAGGAGACATTTAAAGCTTGAGAAACATCAAGTCTCAGTCCAAGGTCTTGGAAAGATTCGTTGCTTGAACATTTTGTTAAACCTCAAAGGTCCTTTCCTGCGCTAACATTCCTGCCTTTGTGAGTCAGCGTGATGTCATAGAGGTAGGTGAAAGGGGATAAGGCAGAAAAATTCTGAATTACTTGTAGAAGTCATTGAACAAGGTGCGAGAAGGTCCAAGAGCATATCAACAGCTATAGAAGAAAGAAAGATGAAGAAATAATCTCATGCTGTTGGTTTGTATGAAACTCGTGGACTTATTTTTCCAATTAGGAATATATATATTTTCCTATTTACCTATTTCTAAAAAATATTTTATTCTTCATTTTATTTCACATTTGTATCTTATTTTCTTAGAATAGATACCTTTAGCAAATAGGGAAGGGGGCTGAGAGAGTAGAGTGATGTAGGATTGGTGGTTTTCTAAAGTGATTAAAGATAGGAGGACATTCAAAGATTCTCAACTGCCCATTTTCTCTAATATTGGAAAGCTCATAATTCTAGACAATGAGTGTAGGGGTCTTATTTACTTGTAATCCAACTTTTAATGCATTTATAAGGCAGAGACTAAGTAAAATCTTATCCTAATAATGCAAAAAAATTCAAAATAATCACGTTTTAAAAAAATTTTAGACTGATAACTATTTTTTGGAAGATAGAATACTAGTCATTAAAGTTTATTACATGTCTTTTATGCATTTTACTTTTATAACAATGTAGATCCAGAATTAAGATGGTACAGTTATCTATCATTGAATTGTAAAGTTATAGTTTGGTAGAGATATTAAAGTCCTAATCATCTTGTATAATTCAAGTAATACATTTCATGAAAACCTGTTCTTAGATTTTCACATTGTATACATATATATATATTTATAATCATAGCAGTATGAATGAAACTTGTTTTCTCAATAAAGATTTCATAATAAATTAGACCTGTATATTTGTAACATTACTAAACAAAGCCTTCTTAAATTATATATCCAATTATTTGAATACTTTATTATAAATAATAAATCAATGTTAGCATTAATTTTTAGTGTACTGAAAAATAATTTTTCTGACTTTATTTCTTAGATTTTTTCAAATGATTAAATACTGAGTTTTCATTTTCATAAAATACTGGTTAGACTTAAGAAGGAAGCCCTAGCAGTTTTTCTCAGCGGTTTGAGCATCAGCCCGTGGACTGAAGGGTCTCAGGTTTGATTCCAGTCAAGGGTACATACCTCAGTTGCAGGCTTGATCCCCAGCCCCGGTTGGGACACAACCAATCAATGTGTCTCTCTCTTTGATGTTTCTCTCTCTCTCTCTCTCTCTGTCTCCCTCCCCACCCCCTTCCTCTCTCTCTGAAAAGCAATGGAAAGAAATCCTTCCGTGAGGATTAAAAAAAATAGGAAGGAAGCTTCATACAGTATATTTTATTAACTATTAGCGAGTTTTCTAGGAGAATATGGGTTTGATTTCCCCCAAGATCTGCACAAATAGGAAAGACTCATCTAGTTGGCTTTGATAGATTATACTGCCATAAAATGCTTTTTAAAGTATATGTCTGTCTATTTCTATCTATCTATTTCTATCTATCTAATCTACCCAAGTTAATTTTTATTTTTTATTCTTAGGATAAATATATTTACCATACGACTCCAGTTGAAAAATCACACGGCAGACTGCAAAGCAGAACATCAAGATCACAAAAGAAAAAATCCAAGTCACCTGAGAGAAATAAATATTGCGTAAATGCAAAAAACTACGAACAGCCTACGATTTCTTCAAAATCACACTCTCCATCTCCCTACACAAAAAGACGCATGTGTGAGCTATCTGAAGACACCAGGCGGCGGCTGGCCCATTTAAATCTGGGACCCTATGAATTCAAAAAAGAAACAGATAAACCTCCATTTGTGATTAGACATGTATGTGTTCTCTCAAACATTTCCATTTGAAACTGATCTAATCTGTTCTTTCACGAAAATATTATTCTGAAACTTCTTTCAACTTCTAGCCTATGTTGATAATTTTCTCTGACCTATTAGCCTGGCAATCTAAAATGGGAAATTACCTGGGAATAAAAGAACATTCTCTTGCCAGTCTTTAGCCCTGACAAAGAACAAGCTCCACTATGAATGCCATGGCAAATCCTCTAAGTACCATTTCCTTTCTTACAGCGTGTACAGCGTGGTAACTGTACACATTGAACTTAGATGTAATTGATGTTAGGACGAACATGGAGGGTAGGGTTTTAAAAGAGGACTATGTTTTCTTTATGAAAAGGAAGATCCCCCTTCCCCCAGCCTTTTAAAAAGTCGTAATGGAAAGGAAATTTTCTTTGAAATTATGTCTGATGGGTAAACCTTATATAATGAATGGATCTTTGAAGCGAATCATTATTTGATGGGAATGGGAAGGCCTTTGAACATGAAGGGAGTTAACTTCAGGGTAGCATAGTTCTTATCTTTCTCTATAGAAGCCTGCTTTTGATGTGGTTTAAGTTTAAATGATTGTGATTACATTTGGCTTATTTCAGTAGAATTTATAAGTTCTGATAAGATTTTTTTGGTGGTGGTTTGTGTAAACAGTATCCAGATACTGTTTACTTGCTCGTTTGATGGCAGCTTCAGAATGATTTTAATTTTATATCTGCCCTCAATTGTAAATTAAATTGAAAAGAAAGGACATGCTAGGTGGCTATGCACAAAAATAACCAGGAATATTTTGGGGGTTAGCCACATAAAAATTGTTAGGGAAATGTTCTTAAAATATTTATTAAATCATTGTTTTTCACATCAGTGTTCAAAATAGAATAATTCTAGTATGGCTTGTATAAACCTTGACATTTGTATTAAAATGATTTTCTTCTCAGCTTTCTGATGATAGAAAGAAATGCATACTCCTAAGCCTATAGTTAGAAAATTGCTGCCCAGCTGGGCGTGGCTCAGCAGTTGAGCATCGACCCAGGATCCAGGTGATTGGGTTCAATTCCCAGTCAGGGCACGTGCCCGGGTTGTGGGCTCGATCCCCAGTCGGGCCTGCAGGAGGCAGCCGATCAATGACTCTCTCATCATTGATGTTTCTCTCTCTCTCTCTCTCCCTCTCCTTTCCTTTCTCTGAAATCGATAAAGGTGTATTTAACAACAACAACAAAAGAAAAGGTTCTTCCTTTCAAATCTATTTAAAAAAAGAAAAGAAAAGAAAATTGCTTACCTTGTTGTATAGAAAATTGGATTTTTCCAGTTATATTTGTAAACATAGTCATGTCTTCCCCCTACCTCAATAGCCATTCATGATTTTAAAAGCACTTAACAAATGAAATTCTAATTTGGTACATGCATATGCAAAATGTTAACACTTCTAGGAAAGACATTCTAGTTTTACATACATTATCTGAAATATAGCAAAGAATATGGAGCAGTTTCAAGAAATCACTAGCACAGTCCAAAACAAACTGGCACAACCATTCTAACAGACTAAAACAGCATTGTTTTCATTTCCATTTCTCCAGAAAGGATTTTATTTATGCAGAATAAAATTTTTTTTCTCCTGTGGTAAAATACACATAACAGAATTTACCATTTCAGTCATTTTAAAGTGTATAATTTAGTGGTGTCAAGCACATTCATATTGTTCTGCAACTGTCACAACCATCTAGTTCCAGAACTTCTTCATTATCCTAAACCTGTGATCTTTAGGCATTCACTTCCCACTCCTTCCTTTCTCCAGCCCCTGGCAACCGCTAATCAGCTTTTTTCTTTCTGGCTTTTCCTATCCTGCCGTTTCATGAGTGGAATCACACAGTATTGGCATTTTGTGTCTGGCTCTCTCATTTAGCACAGTGTTTTAGGTTTTAATCCATGTCATAGCATGTATCAGTACTTGATCCTTTCTATGGCTGAATAATAATCCATTGTATGGATATATACCAAATTTTGTTTATCCATCATCTGTTGATTGGCATTTGGGTTGTTTTCACCTTTTTGTTATGAGAACAGTGCTTCTGTGAACATTTGTACACATTTTTGTCTGACTAGCTGTTTTAATTCCTAATTGCTTTTAATACCCAGGAGTGAAATTGCGGGGCCATTAGGTAATTCTGTGTTTAACCTGAGGAATTGTCAAACTGTTTTCCACAGTGGTTGCCCCATTTTACAATCCCACCACTAATGTATGAGGGTTCCAATTTATCCACTCAACAACACTTGTTATTTTGTTTGGGTTTTTTATTATAACCATCCAAGGGGGTCTGGAGTGGTATCTCATTTGGTTTAGGTTTTTATTTCCCTAATGACTAATGATGTTAAGCATCTTTTCCTGTGCTTATTAGCCAGTTGTGTATTTTCTTTGGAGAAATGTCTATTCAAGTTTTTTGCTCATTTTTAAGTAGGTTCTTTGTCTTTTTGCTTTTCAGTTGTAAGTTTTCTTTATATATTTAGGATTCTAGAACTTTATCAGGCATGATTTGTAAATTTTTTTCTCATTCTGTGCCTTGTCTTTTTACTTCTGTTTTTAATTTTAATATTAAAAAATTGTGCTAAAATATACACAATATATAATTTACTATTTTAACCATTTTAAGTGTACAACTTAGTGGCATTAGATATATTTACACTGTTGTGTAATCATCACCACCATCTGTTTCCAGAATTTTTTTTCGTCTTGCTAAATTGAAACTCTGTACCCATTAAACAATAACTCTCCGTTCCCTTTCCCTTTAGCCCCTGGCAACTACCATTTCTGCTTTCAGTCATTATGTACTTCACTACTTTGGGTGCCTCACAAGTGGAATATACAGTTTTTGTCCATTTGTGACTGGGTTATTTCACTTAGCATAATGTCATCAAGGCTCATTCATGTTATAGCATTTGTCAGAATTTCCTTTTTACAGTGGGATAATATTCTTTTACATGTATGTACCACATTTCATGTGTCTTATTTATTTGCTGATAGACACTTGGGTTGCTTCCACCTTTTGGCTACTGTGAATAATGCTGCTGTGAATATAGTATCAAAGTATCTGTTCAATTCCCTGCTTTCAGATATTTTGGGTTGATACCCAGAAGTGGAATTGCTGGATCACATTACAATTTGATCTTGAATTTTTTGAAGAACTTCCATACTCTTTTCCCATAAGTAGTTGTACCAATTTATATTCCCACCAACAATGCAAATGGGTTTCAATTTCCCCACATTTTCTTTAACTCTTATTATTTTCTGTTTTTTTGTTTGTTTTTTTAATAATACTGATCCTAATGGATATGAATTATTATCTCATTTTGGTTTTGATTTATATTTCCTTAATGATAGTGTTGTTGAACATTTTTTCATGTGCTTATTGGTCATTTTTATATCTTTTGGAGAAATATCTATTTAAGTCCTTTGCCCACTTTTAATTGAGTTTTTTATTAAGTTATAGAAGTTTATATATTCTGCATATTAATGCCTTATGTATCAGATAATTTACAAATATTTTCTTCTATGGGTTGTCTTCTCATTCTCTTGGTATTGTTCTTTAAAAACTTTAATTCAAAGTTTTTCATTTTCATGAATAGAGCTGTCTCTTTTACACAGATTTATATCACTCTGACTTTTTTATTTTTGGTTAGAAAATGTGGTTGACTGTTATTATCTGTAAGCCCTAAAGCACTCAGCACACTAGGCTCTGAACACAGCCAAGTAAAGACACTGAATTCACAATGTATATGCTAAGGAGAAAAGTAGCAAGTGGCTAAACTTATTTTTTAAATGTGGCAAAGTAGATTCCTCTTTTGTAAACTTTGTAATGGAAAGCAAACTAGGCAATGGAGTAATGGATATTTCAACTGTTTATTCACTTTAAAATAGGCTCAAATATATAATTAAGCATTTCTGGAATTTAATATCAATTTTGTTTAAAAATGAACAGCAAAATACTCAACTGTGCTTTGACTTTGAAATGTGCCTGAACCATATGGTCACTATCATGTTAGCCTAAAGATATGTGGTCTATGTAATTTAGTTGATTTTCTGGTGCCATAGAACTGAAAGAAGATTTAAGCTGTTTCGTTTTGTTTTACATTGAATTCCTTCTTCTTCTAGGTTGATCCCCCAAGTCCCAGGGCTGAGACTTTATTTGGATCTTCTAGCAGAGACTGTGAAAGGGATGGGTGGTCCAGGATGCACAGTGGTAAGCTACGAGTTCTCTCTCTTCATTGCTTTATTGCGTTGGCCACAGTCAAGCCTTTAATTTGACATCAGTTAACAAAAACAAAGTCTTTTGCTGTATTATTGGTTAATATGATATAGAGCTACTTTTTATAACTTGTGGGACACCCATATATAGGTACTCTCTAAAATTAATAGAATTTCTGTCATGTTATAAATCATCTCCCTCTTTGGCATACAAAAAATATGTACTAACATGTTAAAGACTGAGACCTTCTAGTAAAAAACAGCTTGATTTTGTTTTGCTCAACAATTTCTAAGTTTATTGGACTGTGGAACCCTTTTCTCACCTTAACGTATATTACTTACTTGGTTTGTGGAACAGACTGGAAAACACCATAGTAGAAAGAGTTCAAGGTTATAGGTTTTGGAGAGACATTTACACATATATTTGAATATTTGTTCTACCTCTTATTTACAAAGTAGGCATGCTTGAGTAAATTTTTAGCTACTTTGATAATCAGTTTGTTTATTAAAGAATGAGGATACCATGGTAAATGTTACCGTGTAAACTTCCCTAGCACCCTGGACTTACAAATATCAGCTGTCATTATAATATAGAAATAATACTTATTATTTATATTCCTGAAAAGATAATACCCTTTAGGTTTAGTTCATAAGAATTTATCTTTAAATTTTAGTCTTGGTCCTAATGGTTAGATAAGTATTTTCTTAAATTCAACATGAATATGATTTTTATGAAGGTTAAATGGTATTGTATAATTAGGGATATTTGAGTGTTAATACCTATAGACATTGGCTAGTCAGTTCAGCAAGCATTCACCAGCAGCCCTTAAGTTTATTTACTATACCATCTCTTTCTCTTCATAAACTGTAGTATATAATCTCTTTTTATTAAGTGGGGAAATGAAACATTCTTCTCTGAGAACATTTGGAGTTTGTGCTCATTTATTTTGCTTTATTTTCTAGCACTATAACAGGGAGATAGATGTGGTAATAAGTCTTTTATACGTGTAATGTCAGGTTATATGAAATTAGGATCAGATGTTATACTCTGTTTCTCTTCTTAGAATAAATATATGGACATGGAAAAATAAGCTTTAAGAACAAGAAAATAAAAAATAATTTCAATATAGATGCTTATTTGGAAGATGTTTTTGGAATGCACTTAAGTGTGATTTTTCTTTACAGTTATATATTTGCCAAATTTCAGACTTAGCAGAAAAGTTGGAGTACAAAGAATTCACATATACCTTTCAGAAACCACACATACTAATACTTGTTTTTCTCTCTCCTTCCCTTTATCTCTTTTCTCTCCCGCCGTCATCTCTGTGTATGTGCCTGTGTATAAAATTTTTGACAAGGACAGCACTGTGGGATGAATTGTGTCCCTCCAAAATGAATATGTTAAAGCTCTAACCCAATTGTTATTGTATTTGGAAATGGGGCCTTTGGGAGGTAATAAGGTTTAGATGAGGTTATGAGGGTTAGGGTCAGTGCCCTATGATAAGAGACACCAGAGATCTTGCTCTCCCTCTCTGCCATGTGAAGGCGTAGCTGTAAGCAGCCATCTTCAAGCCAGAACAAGAATGTTTACCAGAATCTGACTGCTGACACCTGGATCTCGCACTGACTCACAGGGAACACATAGTGGCAATAATTATCAGTGTAGGGCTCAAGAATTACTTTGATAGAAACAATGAATTGATACAGAGTTGCTGAGTTTTTTATTAAAGCTCTAAGTCCTTCCTGCTTAAAGACAGGATTGTCCTTTACGACTGAGTCATATCTAAATCATATCTCAACTATGGAAAGAGGAAGGGTACAAAGGCTCTAAGTTATATAACTACTCCTAGGTGAATGGGGACTTTAATACGAAGTGGATTTCAATCTCTATATTAGATAGTTGCTAAGGAAATGTTTTGATGATTGATTGCCACTTTTTGGTTTTAACCTGTACTGTTAGTCACTACTTGATATTTGATTAATTTGATTATGTATCACATCCATTTGATTAACAAATCCATAACCTGATATCATTTTTGAGACAAAGTCACTTTTATTCTGTGTTCTTTTGTTTTACAATAAGGAAATCTATTTTTATATTAGTGGAAGTAGCAATGGACTAATTAAGGACCTCAGTTCCATTACTTGTTAGCTATAGAAGAAGTCAGTCTCCTGAAATGTAGAGTAGAAATAATAGTCTAATGTATTGTATTAGTCTCCTTAGGCTGTCATGACAAAGTACCATAGACTGGGGGCTTAAACAGTAGACATTTATTTTATCACAGTTCTGGAGGCTGGAATGTCCAAGTTCAAGGTGCTGGCAAGATAGGTTTCATTCTGAGATCTCTTCTCTGGGCTTGTAGGCAGCTGCCATCTCACTGTATACTCATATGACCTCTTCTTCATGTGTGCAGGGAGGAAGAAAGTGAGAGAAAGAGCACCCGTGAACATGTGCGCGAGAGCAAGCTCTCTGATGTCTCTTTTAATAAGGCAATTCTTTCCATCATGAGGGCCCCTGAGGGCCCCATGCCCATGACTTGATCTAACCCTAATTACCACCCAAAGGCCCAGGCTCAGATACCATCACTTTGGAGATTAGGCCTTCAACATTTGAATTTCGAAAGGACACTAACATTCAGTCCGTAATACTTATTTCACGAAGTTATTGGAGAATCAAATAATTGCTAACATTTCTCGAATGTGTTTTCTGCTAGCTGCTATTCTAAGTACTTGTATTTCATTGGTTAATTACTCGTAGTAACCCTAAGAATTTTAGACACTATTATTTATCCTGAAGAAATCTGAGGTTTAAAGAAGTGAAGTAAGTTGATCAAGATCACTCTCACACACACACACACACACACACACACACACACACACACACACACACACACACACACACACACACACAATCTAAATTAGCTCTTCATACTTTTTCTCAAATGCTACCCATTCATTACGGCCCAACTCAACTTTTTCCTTTTTTAGGAAGTTTTTTCTGGTTTCCTTCAACCTTGAGAGATTGATCTTGATAGGACTTTTTAATAGTATAAATTGTCTATATCATCTGTTCTTTTATGCTGCTGTTATTCAGCTTGTATAACTTAACCAAAATAAATTATAAGCCCTTCACAACCATGGGCTGTGAGTCTGATCTCCTTTATCTCATGCATATAGAATAGAGTGCTAATTATTGGTAAGGGTGATTAAGTGTGAACATTGGGAAACCTCACATCAAAGTAACACCTTAATTTGTAAAAGTGAAAGGGCATTCTAAGACTGTCTGTATTAGGGGGAGCTTATAAGTGGTTTGTGGAAAGCAGAAGACATACAAGTCTTTTAATACATTGATACTTTTAATATTACATTAGCGGCCAGGAGGGATATATACCATTTCCAGAAATTACTACTTTAATTTTCAAAGTTAGCCTGTTTGGAGAATTCAGGTCGGTATCCTTATCATTCTTTTATTTCGTCTGCTATCTGTGGCCATGTTGTGCGTTAGACTTTACAGAGGAGGCATCGGGCTGTGATTTATTTTCATTTTTAATTTTAAAAAGCACTTGAAGTAAGTTGAATCTTTCTGAATTAAATGGTGAAATTGTCCTTGTATAAAAGACATTAATGTTTCAGCAATTTTCTATAATGGTTCAGGGCACTTGGAAAACAAACATGCCATTAGTGAAAGCTAACTAACTGACTGAATATAGACTATCCTAGGTCTCTATTCATAGAACCATGCTTTTCTAGACAAAGTAGTTTGGAAGGCAAAATATAGAATGCTTTCAACCAGAATGTATGAGTGAGGAAGTTGATTTGCGAATTATGATTCTAATTTGCTTGACTGTCAATATAACAGAGATTATAATACTTAAAAGTTGATTCTTGAAAGCTGACTCCTTTAAATAATGAGTAAAATCCCAAATCTGCATCTACAATATAGTGGTCCTTATCTTAGGGAGAAAATTAGAATAGTTTTATAATTCAATTTGTTACATATACTGTGCTACCGACTTTTATAAGCTGTATAGCTTAATCATCACTGTGACTCTCTGAGGTAAAGTAAGTGTTGCCTTCATTCCCTTCAAATGAGGAATGAAACAGATTAACTGTATAACTCGACCAAAGTGATGTATTTGATAAGTGGAGGAATCAGAAATTGAACATAGGCTTGACTTAGAATTTGATAGTAATGATGTTGGTGATGGTGTTAGTAATGAGTTAACATTTATTTTATTACTTTGCATGTGATATCTAATGCAGTCTTTAAAGTAAATTATGAACAACTTGCATCAGACAGCTGAGGAATCCGATGCTTAGAGAGATTAAGTAATTTGCCCAGGGCCCTGCAGGAAGTGCCAGGGGCTGGACTGTGCCGTAGATCTCTTCCTCAGCAAGGCCCGCACACTGCAGTGCGCTGCCACCTCCTAAAGCTGGTCCTGCTTCCATTATACACACTTGACTCTAGCATGAACTCCAAGAATATTTGACAATATTCAAATTACATTTCATTATAAACTGGTTTATTAACTAAAAGTTATCCATTTCATCCATGTCAATTTTATAACCATTCGTGTAGACAAATTGATTAATCAACTAAAAAGTATTCTGGTCTATATTTGAATATTTCCTACTCTAATGAAATTAGTATTTATGAAATCACTTAATTACTAAAGAACTAATACAGATTTTAATTTGTTACTTATTGTCTTTGCTTATGTAACATTGAAGGATTAAAATATATTTCTGAAGACTGCTGTGTGCATTATAATCATAGAAAGGCAGTGTTAGTAGCAAAAAGCAAAGATGAAACCAAATTTTCTTCTTTTTGATATAGTTTCTCTCATATATCTTTTTTCAGATCATTCTCATTTTGGCGGCTACCGACCCAAGGATTATAAGGTATGTAGTAAAAATTACAGAATGATAATTATCCTTGCTTTTAGATAAAGCGTAAGTCAGAAATTATCATAGTCAAAAAAATGTACCAACAATAGTTATGTCATGAATGTCATTATTTTGGCTACACTGTCAAGTGGTAGAATAGACTTTTCATTGCATGTCTTCCTACAAGTATTTTGTGGCTTTTGATTGTTCATTTGGCTTAATTACTTACTGAATGTGTCTGTGTGTTTGAGAGACAGAAAGAGAAAAATTGGCTGGTACTTTGCCTAGTACCTGGCATAGTACTATTAACAAGCTGCAGTCACTCACAGAGCATCCTCATAATATCTCCATGCAGTTTATGCTATTTTCTTTAAGTTCACCTTTTTATCTCACCACTGTAAGTGAAAAATTATCCAATGCTTTAAAGGAATGATAGCCATTAAAAATGCAGTGAAAGCAAAATAATTACTAAGTTCTGGCTAGATAACTGCTGTTTTCCAAAGGCTCTGAGCCATGTTCTCAGTTTCTTAAAATGAAGTATACTGAAGATTTCTGATTGAAAGAGAATTGAAAAGAAAATACGTTTTTTCTTTTGTGATGCCGTGTAATTTAGTGTCTGTGTCCATGTGCCATGTAAAATATTTTATATATCAGATAAAATCATTTTGAGTACCATATTAATGATCCGCCGTAACATTAGTTCATGTCCTGCATTTTCAGAAGCACTGCCTTAGAGTTTGTCTTTTCTGCCCCTAAGTGAAAGCTGCTTGATAATAAGTATTATATTTGGGAAAATAGAACAAAACAAAAAATATAGCTTTCCTTATAATATCTTTGCTTATTTACTAGAAAACAATTCATTTCGTGCTTGCTGGCACCAAATAGTACTTTGCTACGCTTTGCATGTAATGAAGGAAATACAGAACAGTTAAGTAACAGGTCAAGGCACTGTATGATTACAGGCTCAGATCTACCAGAGTGTCAGGACCTTCCACATGGAACTTTATAATAGTTCATTTCAGGCTGACTAAATTGAAATTGTTGAGAATGGAGACTGGAAATTTTTTATTTTTAACACGTTTCCAGGTGCTTTTTATGCAGCTCTCATGTCATTTATCCAAGGATTGGCATTTGAGAGTCACTAGTATAAACTATGAATGTAGCACTTATATTGTTAGAGCTATCTCTTGTATAGTGTTTGTATGGGGTTGTGCCCCTGTTTTTTTTTCTTTTAATATGTTTTTACTGATTTTAGAGAGAGGGATAGAGAGATAGAAACATCAATGAGAGAGACACATCCATCGATCGGCTGCCTCCTGCATGCCCCTACTGGGGATCGAGCCCCCAACCAGGGCATGTGCCCTGACCGGGGATTGAACCGGTGACCTCTTTATTCATGGGTTGATGCTCAACCACTGAGCCACTCGGGCCAGGCTATGCCCCTGTTTAAGGCTGCCCCAGGTCCCTCGTGTGGGCCTGGCATAATTCAACTGGTACAGACCCATCATATTATGTGGAATTTACTCAAACACACATACACCATATACATGCACACTGATGTGTATTATATCTATCTGTGGCTGTGCACTTGTGCACACACGTTGCAGAGCATAATGTTCACTGCCTTGCTTGGGGCCCAGGGAAGCCTTCTTAGTTGTTCTACTTAAGGGACAAGATACCTTTGTAATTTCTTTCAAGTCATGCTTTACAATTTTTTTGCATTCTAAGTTCTTTATTAATCACATAATATGTAGAACAGCATTACAGTGACAACATTTTTTTTCAATTTATGAAATATGCTAGATTCATTCTTACGTATCAAAAGCCCAGTCCTGAGTAAAATGAAGTCTGGCCTTAAAAATTTTGAATAAATGGTGCTGGGAAAATTGGACAGCTACATGCAAAAAAATGAAACTAGACCACCAACTTTCACCATACACAAAAATAAACAAAATGGATAAAAGACTTAAATGTAAGTCGCAAAACCATAAAAATTCTGGAAGAAAACATAGGCAATAAAGTCACAGACATCTCATGTAGTGGAATTTTCACTGATACATCTCCTAGGGCAAGAGAAACAAAAGAAAAAATAAACATATGGGACTAAATCAAACTAAAAAGCTTCTCCACAGCAAAAGAAAATAGCCTTAAAATACAAAGGAGCCCCACGGTTTGGGAGAACATATTTGCCAAGGATGTATCTGATAAGGGGCTAATTTCCAAAGTGTACAAAGAACTCATACTACTCAGCAAGAGGAAGACAACCCAATTTAAAAATGGGCAAAGGACCTGAATAGACACTTTTCCATACAGGACATACAGATGGCCAAGGGACACATGAGAAAATACTCAGCTTCACTAATCATCAGAGATGCAAATTAAAACCACAATGAGGGTTCACTTCACACCTGTCAGAATGGCTCCATCAGCAAATCAACAGACGATATGTTCTGGCGAGGGTGTGGAGAAAGGGGAACCCTAGCACACTGCTGGTGGGAATGCAGACTGGTGCATCCACTATGGAAAACAGTATGGTAGTTCCTCAAAAAATTAAAAATGCCTTTTGACCCAGTGATCCCACTCCTAGGAATGTATCCTAAGAATCCTGAAACACTAATCAGAAAGAAGATATGCACCCCTATGTTTATAGTAGCACAGTTTACAATAGCCACGATCTGGAAGCAGTCCAAGTGCCCATCAGTAGATGAGTGGATAAAAAAGCTGTGGGACGTTTACACCATGGAATACTATGCAGCTGTAAAGAAGAAAGATCTCGTACCCTTTGGGTCAGTATGGGTGGACCTGGAGAATATTATGCTAAGCAAAATAAACCAGGCAGAGAAAGTCAAACATCACATGATCTCACTTATATGTGGAATCTAAAGAACTTAATAAACTGATGAACAGAAATGATTTAATGACATGGAAGCATGGATCAGACAGATGAATCTCAGAGGGATGGGGGGGGCTGGTGGGTGGAGGGGGAGAGATTAACCAAAGAAATTATATGCATATATGCACAACCCAAGGACACGGATAATGGTTTGGAGAGGGACTGGGAAGGGGGCTGGGCCAGGGTGGAATGGGTCAATGGGAAGAAAAAGAGTCATCTGTAATATTTTGAACAAAAGTTTCAAAAAAAGAATTTTGAAGATTGGGGCCCTGGCCAGTGTGGCTCAGTTGTTTGGAGTGTCATCCTGTACACCAAAAGGTTGTGGGTTCAGTTCCTAGTCAGGGCACATACCCAGGCTGTGGGTTAAATCCTGGTTGGGGCATGTGTGGGGAGGCAACCCATTGATGTTTCTCTCTCTCAAACTTTAATTAAAAAAAGAATTTAAAGATTGTGTAAACTATTACACTTAATTAAACAAACATGTTCTAAGATATATTGACTGAAGACAATGACAAAACCTTCCTTTTCTCTTATTGTGATAGTTTTCTAGCTGTTTTCCCTGACATTGCCCTTGGCCCTTCTACAGACTGTTCTTAACATAATAGCTAAGGAGATCTTACTAATTTTTTTTAAAATGAGCATGTTTTTTCTGCTTAAAATAGAAGCCTAAATCCTTAAAATCTACCTTTTGACCTCATTTATTATTTAGCCCAGCCCGGCTGTCTTCCTCGCTATTTTTCACATAGCAGGCATGCCCCACCCCAACCCTCAGGATCTTTGCATTTATTTTCTCTCTTTCTTGAATGTTCTTCCCACAGATGTCCCCAGGACTTAGGTCTTGTGGTCTTTACTCCCTGGGCCTTTACTGAGACATTCTCTTCTGTACGCAGTCCTATTTACTATCCTATTTGAAATTAACATCTCCTTCCCTATGTACCCCCAACCCCCTTTCCTGCTTTATTTTCTTCCCATGGTATTTGTCATCCTTTGCCATACTGTATATTTTTATCTATTTGTCTTGGTGTGTGTGTGTGTGTGTTTAAATCTATTTCCCCTTATTAGAATGTAAATTTGACTACAAGGGCAGGAATTTATGAATTTATCTGTCCTGGTTCATTTATTTGCCTGTCCTCAGAACAAATGAAACAATGAATGAGAATTAGGGCTAGAATTCTGTTCTGTTTGGCCTCATAGCTAAACTAGGCTACAATTCATGTATATTTGTCCTTTGTTTTATATATATATCCCTATCTTTACCTCACCCCTCCTCAAAAGCCCTTAGAGTTAATCACATTTTGTAAATTTTAGACATGTGGAATGAGCAATCCAGATGCGTTTAATGTTGACTCTTACAATAAGAATGATTACTGTATTCTGAAATTTATCTTCAAATATAGCTGTGGCATTATATTTTTTTAACTTTTACAAAGGGTGTGTGTATGTATGTGTCTGTGTGTTTGTATGATGTTACCATATATATTACATACGTAACTTTTTTAACAGGTTATCAGGACACCCCATGGGACAGACTTCGATGACTCTTTGGAAAGGTGTGATGAGTATTTGAGCTCAAGGTCATGTGGCAAGCCCCGGCACTCAGCGAGGACCTTACTTGTCCATTCAGCACCCTCAACAACGCTGAAACATCCTCCAAGCCCTGTGTTACATCGTGCTTCTCTCAGGGAAAGGTAATGCTTAGTCTCTATTTCTGGGCTGCTTTTTTGAATAATCACCACTACTAGAAAAGAGAAGGCAGCAATAATATATGTGAAGTGATTATTTGTAAAAGTATAATTTGATTTTCAGAGGCTTAAATTGTTTTTGTTTAGAACATACTGCATATTACAATAGTGTTAGGTACTCCTTCCTAGCCCAGTTCTCTTGAAGTGAGTTTATTAGTGAGTTTATTGATTAGGGTGACTTTAATCCTAGTTAAGTACTATAGTTCATAAAAGTGAGGAATAGAGCATGTCATAGTTTGCTTTTAGTAGATTCATAGGTGTTTAATATTTTAGGAATGGCATATGTATAAAAATAGCATAGATTATGTTTTCCTTTTGGTGATAATGATGATGTATATATAGCTGGTATATGGTACTTAGTTTCCTCAGATAACCTCCCTCCAACTCCCCAAGAGAATCTTAATCATGTAAAGATTCTAGCTCTCCCTCTAAAAATGCTTTTGCAGCCAAAGTTAGCCACTAGTTATACTTTGAATGTGAAAGAAATAATTCCTCTTCATCTGTTTTTTTAATTATTGTTGTTGAATCCAAGTTGGAAATTCCTTGCCTCTCCCACAAATAGTAACATAGAAAACAATAGTTGTCATAAATTAAAAAAGAAAAAACACCCAACCCTTATTATTTAAAAAAAAATTATAGAAGTTTGAATACATAACGGATATGATACTATCCACAACATGTCTTTACAGGTGCTATTAAAAAGCTAAAGTAGTACACTGTTTTTACAGCATATTAGGGCATCAGGCATAGTGGGCAAAGTTTAAATTAGTTGCAGAAGGTCTATCACAAGTTTGTCATAAAGCTGATATGTCTGTTTGGAGGCTGCATTTAAAACATTCCTGTTCTGAACAAATTCATTCATCTGTTTTCTCACTAGCCTGATACACATTCAAAAGGTTATATGGAGGTGTGCTAGAGACCCTAATCTTGAGATAAGGAATTTTGATTAATATTGTTCTAGTCCAATAATAATCATGCCTATGGGGATCATCGAATTCAGATAGATAGACAGACAGACTCTATATCTATAGGCTTTAAAAGCTCAAGAGAAGTTCTTGAGAGGTTTTTCTGCTGAAGTCTGGTAACTTGCATCTCAGTATCAAGGGGTTTTCTTTGACTTCCATGTCTGCTCAGATATTTAGATACACTGTTGGTGCTACTCTCTTTTAACCTTTTAGAATTAAGGACTTGTGGTTTTGTTGATTAGGTTATTTGCCGTATCTGTAGGTTTTCAAGAAATTTTTTACCTGCATCTCCTTGGATATGTTTTTATAAATATTGTTTTATTTTTCTACTTTCTCACATGTTTTGCAGAACTCTCCAATTATTTACCACTACAGTACAATATCAATTTCAGTCTTTTGTTATTTTATCCTTGTATGTAATTTTGTCACAGCTTTTGAAGCCTGTGCTTTCAAGGTTGAGGCTATATTCGAATTGTTTTCATTGAGAATAGCTAAGGTCAGTTGTCCTTTTTCCATACTTCAGTGCAGAAGATGGCTTAGATGGTGATGTCTACACATTTACTTTGATGCTGGGTAGTAGATGTGGATACGTTCTTTGCTAGAAGGAAATGAATAATTCTAATATTAAACGTTACCTACCTTATCTATGACTTGAGGAAATTTGAGGTTTAAAATAAAATATAATGGCAATTTAGTTTTGAATTAATCTAAAACAATAAAACTTGGGGGTACTTTCACTGAGGTGAAACGCCTCTACTTTGAATGTATTTTCTAAAAAATATCTAGATTTGGTCTACAAAGGAAAATAAAATATCTTTATGACATTACTAGGAACAAAATCATTTTGTTCTTTAGCACGCTCAGTACCACATCTTTAAAAATAAGACATCTTTGACCTGGCTTTTTAGGTCACTCAGCAGTATATTTATGGGTGTTTATACAATCCATTGGAATAATAAGCAATTTAAGTTGCTGTAAATGTAGATTATATGTCCTAGGAAAAATTGGGAGTATGACAGAACATACAACTATGGGAATTTATCTGGGTAAATACTCATTAAAACTAATTAAGTTTTCTCAAAGATTGCTGTTAAATGCTGACTCCTTAATCATGTATATGAATAAACAGACTTTTAAAAATTTTATCAGACTCTAAGCAAATGAATTTTTTTTTTATAGTGAAAGTTTGTTTTGCTTTAAGCCCATTTTAAAAACACCTCCAATAGAGGTTCACACCATAAAATGGTTTCAATTTTGATGTGTTACAGTTCAGAAGCAGTTTTCTTCTCAAAGTATAAATGTTAATATTGTGGAATAATTGATATTAGGCTGTAGGATTATTACTAAAATCAGACTGAGAAATACTAGCAAATCTGATTAAAAAGGAACTGATATTTCTTTTAAATTATGCTTACAGTTTTGATTTTTGTAAATGTAGTAAAATATTGTTAGGCAATCTTTCCTTATACCACAGCACAGACTAGTGGATCCTCTCATGGTATTATTGAAGATACCATCCTGTTGGAGCTCAGATTTTCAAGATGTGTACATATGTAGCAAATAAAGTTTGTCAGTATATTTGTAGAGACACAATAACACTTCCTTTTAAAAATGCAGAATAAAATTTATATGTAGTGGATCATCCATTACTGATTACATTCTTTAAAACAGCTTATGTAAATCATTTATCCAGCTTAATAGTCTATACTCTGAGTAAACATAAAATTATAACTTTTGAAGAACAAACAGGGAGATAAAAAGGCAAAGTTTCAAGCAACCTATTAGCATTTTAATACTCATTTCTTTATAACAGAATTATAGATAACATTTCATATGCATTCATCATTATCAGATCTAGAAATTTTCATTGTTACTTATATAGCTTAATTCTACTAATTCCAGTTTCGAGTTTGGGAAGGGCATAAGAAAGAGGGGCAGTGCTTTATTTCTTCTTCGACATCTTAATCCAACATTCAGACTCTAACAAAAGACATATTTTTCTTCCCTACTTTTCAATATTTACTTTTTCAAAAATACACTTACGTCATAGTAGAGACTAGACAAGTGATACCATCTGTACTGGGATGAGACCATTCAACTTTCATGTTCCCCTGTATTCTTTATTTATTTGTTTATTGAGGTATAACTGACACACAGCATTATATTGGTTTCAGATGTACAATATGATGATTCGATATTTATATTGTTCACCTGTATTCTGAAGGAGTAAGAACATGATTGAATTATAAATAGTATTTTAATCTATTATAAATATTTTGTTTCATTTCATAAAATGTTTTATCATTCTGTATGCAGAAAGGAATTTTTTCCACACAGTTTGAGTATGATTCAGTTAGTGGAAATAAGAACTAATTTTAAATGCACTCTACATCGAATTATTGTTCTGATATGAAAATTTATATTCTTTATGTAGAGATAAAGCTGTAAAGAATTATGTATGGAAATTATTAAAATGATCAGCTATATGGGTATGTTATTCCAAATGCATGTCAAAGTTTATTATCGGCTATTGAACATATTGTGAGTGCTTAATACTACAGCTGAGAATTAGTACCTGGTTTTATATCTACCTCTCATCTTTGGTTGAAAGAAGAGAAATGTTATTCTAATCTTTATATATTATCACATGGGGATAAGAAAACAAATGACTTTCTGTGTCTGGCATTTGCAAGATTCCTTTTTCTCACCCTCTGGCTACAAGTCACCTTTGTTTTTTATGCCTACAGATTCCATTCTGATTGGTGTTCACCTTCAAACTGCGACGAGATCCATGACCGGGTAAAAAATGTCTTGAAATCACACCAGGCTCATCAAAGACATTTTTATGTTAGTTTCTAAAATTTTCTCTTGAAGGCTTTTTATAACTGGGCATGAAAGCCACCCAAGATGCTTAAAGTTTGCAATATTTAATCATTGAGAAGGAAAAGATACAACCTCCATATCTAACTTCCTTCTTGACCTGAGTCATTGTGCAAAATGTTTGACACAGATCATCTGAACAAGTTAGTGATTATTATCTCATGAAGAGTCAGTAAGTAGTGGCTTTATTATAATTTTTTCACAGCCTTCAAAATATGGGAACTCTTGCTTTTTGGCCCAGCACAAACCAGTTCCGTGTCCTACAAACAGATTTGATTCTAAATGGTAGAATGAGGGAGGAGGTGAGAAAGTATGTATTTTGAAAAAACCTCTCAGCTAATTTTTATGTTAATTAAATGTTTAAAAGAGGAAAAGAGCAGATCAGATCTGTCAGGCTTATTATTAGAAAACGTCAATATGAGAATATTTTACATGAATGACAGGGGAAATAATTACTGTATATTATTTTTGTGTTTGATTTATTAGTTTTAGAAACCATTACTTATCATGAGTGTCATATTGGGCACTAAGCTCAGTCCTGGGGAAACAACTGGATTATGTGACATTGGCATTGGTTTGTGCCGTTTTAAGTTTCTATACACATCAGGTTTTTTAATTAAATTTGTTTTCAAAGTATAACATGAATATCAAAAATACACACATCATTAAGTAATAGCTTCATGAAATATAATAAAATCACCTTATGTAAACTATGTACCAGATCAAGAAACAAAAGGTTATCAGCTCTTTAGAAGTCCCTCCTTTTTTCTCACACCTCCTGCCACTCCAAGGGTAAACACTATTCTGACTTTTAATGGTAAGACTAGTATTGTGTGCTTTGATCTTTATATAAATGACATCCTACAGTGTCTACTCCTTAATTTGGGTATATAGCTACCAGTGGAATTGCTCAGCCGTGGGATATGTGTCCATTCAGTTTTGTAGACATGCCAAAGATTTTCCCCAATGATTCTAACAGTTTTTACTACCACTACCAGTGTCTGAGGTCTGCTTGTTCCACATCCTCACTGCTACTTTAACCGATTGTGTGTGTATGCTTTTGTGTTTTTTCATTTTGGCATTTTTAAAAGCATAAGTAGGAAATGCCATGTTTCTTCCAAAGAAAAACAAATTGATTACATAGGAATAATAGCTGTTTATTAATGTTCACTACAGGCCAGACACTGTGCATATATTATTCCATTATATCCTCACAGAAATCTTACAAAGTAAGGATTATTATAAGTACTATTTTACAGATGAGGAGAGGAATTAAGGCTCAGAAAAGTTAAGTGACTTATAGCAGGTCAAATAGTTAAGATGATTAATTGGAGCCAAGATTTGAATCTAGATTAATACTCTTTTAACCACTAAGTTCTACACAAATACTCAATGTCAATCAGATACACATAAGCCTGATAATATAACCAAATACAAAGGTGTAAAAACAGGCATACATAAGATCCATGGAAACAATACATCTTCAGAAACAGAAAGTAGCAGTCATATACCAGAGGTAGATATTGTGAACTGTATGTTGAAACATACTCCTTGGACACAGGTCAGACCAAGGTCCATGCTGGTCCTGTTTGAAGGATATTCATAAAGACATACAACCTTAAATATACACATCAGGAGTGGTGTTTTTAACTTAAGAAGAAATTTTAAAAGTAAAAGATTTTTTATTTCACAAATATCAACCTCTTCTGGAACAGAGAAAAAGTCCTCTTTTAGTCGATAAATATTTGACTTGTAAAGAACAGAATAAAACATACTATGTCAGAAGTTTGACAGTCACAAAAAAAGAAGAGAAGCCATCTCAGACATACTAATGGAAGTCTGATCAGGAAAGATTCTGTTGAAAAAGTAGCAAACATTCAACATTTTGATTTACACATCTATTATTCAAGAGAAGACTTCAACAAAGACCCCAGTCCTTTTGCTATCACATCTAAACCCCTGGTTTTGTTGCCTTTTGGCAGAAATAAGAGAGAATGTGACTTAATCCTACCCATCTATCCTGTCTAGAAATTCATGTTTTTAGATAAAACTCATTCTGGAAGTTGTGAGGAATAATCCAGTTAAAACAGACGGTTCTTGTTGGGTCAGATCATGGAAAAATAGGATCGGAGGTTTAGACTTATCCTGGAATGCAGAAGTCATGAAGTCAGATCACTCATGGGTTGGAGTACGTTCCAAGTCCCCAGTGGATGCCTGACTGCAGGCAGTACCGAGCCCTACACACACAGTTTTTTCCTTTACATACATACCTATGATAATGTTTATTTTATAAATTAGGAAAAGTAAGGGATTAACAGTAATAATAATAAAATAGAACAGTTATAACAATATAATGTAATGTTATGTGAACATGGTCACTTGTTTCAGCAGATTCCTTGCTGAAGTCTTCGTATAGGCTCAGTGCTTTCTGGGGCAACACGTGGCCATTAATCAGAACACGTTTTCTGTTCATGTCTTCCGCCCACAAATGCAGTGCCTTTTCCATTTTAACTAAGCACTTGTCACACACTGTGGCTGTAACTTTTACAGTTTGAGGTGTGACAGAAAAACTAGCATGTATTTATTTGTTCTTCATAATTTCACAGACAGAAGATTTATTCTTACTATAGATCTTAGCAGCCTCAGCATACGATTTTTTTCCTTTCCTTGTTAAGTCAAGACTTTCACTTTTTCACTTTAAGGAAGCACTTTCTGGCTCCTCTTTGGTATATCCAAATTGCCAGCATCGCAGGCTCGCTTGAACACACGCCCTGTGATACTGCCGTCTGATAAGCAGATGGCTACTAAGTGACTAATGGGTTGGTAGCACATACAGTTTAGATACGCTGGACACAGGGATGATTCATGTCCTGAGTGGAATGGAGTGGGATGGCGTGAGATTTCATCATGCCGTTCAGAATGGTATGCAGTTTAAACTCATGCATTGTTTTTTTCTGGAATTTTCTACTTTATATTTTTGGACTGCTGTTGCCTGAGGGTAAGTGAAACCATGGAAATTCTGAAAAGTTTCATCTGGATTATATTATTTCTCAATACCCTCATAGGAAAAAAACCTAGATGTTAGCTGAAAGAGTTTGAGCCTAATTTTCATGTAGAAGAGTGATCTAATGGCTTCGGATGGAGGGTTTTTGATTCCATAGTCCAGTTTATTCGCATTCTGGGAGGCAGTATAATGGAAATCAAGTTAGACCTGGATTTAAATTCCAGCTCTGCCACTTCATAATTTGTATCTTTGGGCAAGTTATGTAATTTTCCTGAGTTTCAATACCTTTGATATGGTTATTGAAGGCTTAAATGATATCCATATAAAAAGAAAAAAAAGCACCTCAGTCCTAGATACCTTGCAGGTACTCAACAAATATTGGTGCTGTCCATCTTTTTCTGTGTTTACGTGTGGGCAAGTGGGAGCGTTGATGAGGAAAAGAAGTGCACCGCCTCTCCGTGTCCTGGGAACGTGTTGTCTGGCACTGACAAGAGTGACACATCTCTTCAAATGCTTGCTTGGTCCAGAATCAGTAACTTATAATAAGATGTGATGTTTGTTGCCTCTGTTTTTATATAACCTGACCTTTAAAAAAATACTATACAAGGACTCTTATAAGAGATGTCTGTGTGTTGAACATATATATATAACGTCACCAAACAGCGTCTTAAACTTTGATGGGGAGAACCGTGAAGGCAATTCCGCCCTGTGAGATCCTTCATCTAAATGGGTGTCGGTGCTCTGCCTGAATATTTTAGTGATTGTGAGCTTACTCCCTCTTAAGATAGCCGTTCTGTTTTTAGAATGCTTCATTAATTAGAAAGTTTTTCCTTATTTTGTCCTTTATTATGTCTCCTAATAATTTTACCCTTCGATCCGTTCTGTTCAGAGTTTCATAGAATAACTAAGCCTAATTCCATGTGTGTGCAGGATCCTCTCTTGGTCATCTTTCTGACTTCAGAGTCTAGAATAGTAACTACCCAGCTCAAAATATGGGTTTTGTTTAATGAATAATTTATGCTCAGATTTTTAAAAAGGTACCTTTGTATGTTTTTTCGTATATAAGCTTTTAAAATTTTGTCAACATTTTTTATTACAATGTTTTCAAAAATTAATTTTTCAACTGTATTGACAAAATTAAACAAGGAATATTGATTTATGTTTATGTTTGATATCATTTATTATATAATCTAGGAATAAATAACTTTTCCCAGGGATAGAATTTTTAAATTTAATATTACTTATATCTGTTTTATTTATTCTTGCAATATAATATATTTCTTAAAATTGAAAACATTACATATTTTTATATCTTACACTTTTTTGTAGTCTCTTTTGTGTTCATTATATCCAATTACATTCTCTGTGATATTAATAGAATAAGTGCTTTACTTTATTGATTTATCAAACTGGACAAAAATAAGTAACATCTAGCTATATGCTATTTAAGAAAAAAGATCTAAAACCTAATAATAAGGAAAGGTTGAAAATAAAAGGACAAATATATACCATCCAAGCACTAACTAAAAGAAAGCCATTGTAGCTGTATGAATTGTAAACCAAAAATAAGGGGGGGGGGGGGCCATTA